CGATCAAAATAAAACAGTATGTGAAACCAGTTTGTGAAGAAAACAGTTTCAAAATAAATGTATATTCATTTTAGAATTTGAATTTCCTAACCTAACTGACTGATTTCCTTGCTTTTAGAACAAATAACTAGAACAGAAAATCCGTCGCTTATTCAACCACTAATCTGTAAAAATTGTTTCTGACTGCAGTTTATTTTTAGTTATTTTTTTGTCCCAAATATTTGTAGATTCTATCTAACCATAAATCACTGTCCTTTTTTTTAATATAACCACTCTCAAATTTGATTTTTAAAGTTCAAAATAATCAACAATTTTTGTAACCCTAACAACCCTGCTAGCTGTCTGGAGTGAGTATGGAGATCAATTCTAATCAACAGACACGACAAAGACGTCTTGTTTCACCACTGTTGCCAACGCGGATATTTTCACTTATCGTATTTGAACTGCACTTCAGGATCAGACCACGGTCTTCTGAAGTGTCCTATGGTCCTCTCCTTTTTAAACCATTGTTTTAAAATTCAGATCTAATCCTGTTTCAGAAAACAACGACTTGTGTAATGACAGCAGCTTTGTGCCTTGAACGTTACGCCCAAAGCTGTCACCTATTCAAATGTAGAGATAATGAGGAAGAAGCAGGTGTGACAGAGCTCAAGTATTAAACATATTTGTTACAGTGACTTGTCTTGTGTTCAGCGTTCACCCTGGTCACCTGTGCCATCGATAACGGCACCATAATGTAACGTTGTCTGTCGTCCTTGTGTTACGTCTTGTCTCGTGACTTGTCAACACACTCCTTCAATCATTCCTTCTTTGTTTGTTGACTGGGCCAAAACAGGCCTTGTTCTGTTGTCTCTCTTCTTTGGGTCAGGAAGTTTTTGCTACAGAGCACGAGACCAGCTGAGTCTAGTGATGCATTTTAAAAAAGGACCATAAGACCGACTTTTGTTCTGTGGAATCCCCATGGTTACAGGGGCTCCGTTGCTGTTTATGTAATTGATAAACTGTCTTTTAAACTATTATTAAACTTGAGTTCCCACTCTTTATTTAGCTGAGCTACAGTATGGAGGCCAGGCCTACAGCCAAAACAATGTACGAATGATTTACAGTAATACTGTTCCAGATCACTGTAGACACATTCTAAAGTGATCAAATCTGATTTTATAGCAGCTTCTGCTTCCTTTAGTCTTATTTCTTCATAAATAATCTGGAAGAAAAAAAATCACTTTACACACAGAGAAACCTTACATTTTGAAAAGCAAAATCCTGAGCAACAGACAGAGAAACAAAAGTGTCCGTTCTCCAGATCTTCAGATCCCAAAGAATGATCCTTAGATACTGAAAAACTGAATATTTTTTCAGATAAAAAAAAAAGATCTGGACTTCAGTTAAATTAAAACAAGGCATACATCTGGACTTTGTATTTTGTCAGTCTGGATACCCAATCAAATTTGTGTTTAAAGTGAAAATACGACAAAACCTATCATCTGGGTACAGCTATACTGCTGAGCAAATACAGGTCTGACAAAAGTCTAAATGTGAGTTATTTCATAGATAGCTTTCTTCAATGTGTCATACTTCAGTATAACGCCAGATGGTTGGTCTTTAATAACTGTCTTTGATTATACTTTGAAAAGGAAAGTGAACTCCTTGTCATTGTGACACAGCACCCAACCAAATGTGACCTCTGCTTTTAACCCATCACCAAAGTGAACAGTGGGCAGCTTTAGGCGCCCGGGGGCCAGTGTGTGGGGACAGTGCCCTGCTCAGAGCACCTGAGTGGTAACTTGGCAGCTGGTGGACTCGAACCTGAATCCTACAGGACCCAAGTCCACTTCCTTAACCACTAATGACCTTGATAAACAAAACTTTTTGTAATAAAAGTTTGCAACACGATAGTCAAATCATCACACAGGAATGTTACAGTTGCATGTTGTGCCAAATGATCTGTCAACACCACAGGTGACTTTCCAACACAGTAACTGTAGAGCCAAACAGACGACTGAGTGGGAAACACATGCTGTCACAGAATGCGCTAACGTTTTCTCCTAATATGTTTTTTGGTTATTCTGTGACCTTTCCCATCCATACAGGTTCACTATACCCTGCAGCGTATATGAACATCACATATTTGATTATGACCTGGGACTGGAAAAGCCAGTGTAATGTATGCACACCATGTGTTTGGCCCCGGGGTTGTGGTAGCTCATTTGGATCAACATTTATTGAGATGGACCTGATGTCGTTCCTCCTCTTTTTACTGCATACATTTTGTTCTCGGCCATCTTAACATCAACAGTAGAGCTTTGTTAGCCGTCGATGAACGTTTTCATTTTCTCGGTTCTTTTTTTCTTTTTTTTTATCCTTTTTCTCAGTCAAAACACAAAGAACCCTTATTCAAGCATCAGCTTCTGTGGCACAAAGTTGAAAATATGAGGGTGTTGTTGTTGACAATCATCACATGCACAAGTATCTATTTTATCCCTCTTCCACACAAATGATAAACAAGTATATAAATATATATATATATAATATATGTACATATACACACATATATATTATATATTTTTATATATATTATATATGTATATATATTTATATACAGAGAGTCTTGGCTTTCTGTATGTAGTGTTTATGTTCTGAAAAAGTGTGTGTGTGGGGTGAGTGGGTGGGTGTGGTATATAAAAACAAGACAGTTTAGGTCAATCATTCACTCCAAATTGACCACAGGTGTGACTTTGAATGTGAACTGTTGTTTGGCCCCAGGACAACTGTCCAGGGTGTAACCTGTCCTCGCCCAATAGACACTGGGATTGGCTCTAGCTGCCCATACACACAAGTTTAACTTTCTTTATTTATTGATAATAAATACATTGATACATACAGTAAACTTTTAGTCCGTCTACTCTGATTGGCTGGCTGGTTAACATTAGCTAAGGGTCGTTGGTGCGTTGAAAACAGTGTTGTAGTCAAAGGTGTAGAGTAATACCTCTATGCCAGGACTAATCAAATACCCCTGGGATAAAACGCTAATTGATAATACTCTTTCTAACCCAGAATATGTGGTGTTTAAGTTAGCATGCTAGCCGTTCTAGCATTCTCACTGTAGATGTATCAGTAACTGCCTTTACTTCAAATGACACACTATTATTCTCCTTTTCAGTAACTGTACTAGCAAAACAAACTGTCATTTGGCTTCTGTGAAGATGTGGAACTTGGCTGCTGTTTGTACATCAACGTATAATGTTATTTTAGCATTTTAAAACGGCACACATGACTGAGAGAAAATAGAAAGCACTTTGATGCAGAGCCAGGTCAACTTTTATGGTGATTAAAGCTGCGCCAGCTAAAAGATTTAACATTTGAAGTTCAGGAGAGGACAGACTTTTCATAACAATGTATCGTGGGTCAGATTTGATTCGTTTGCTAAAAAGAAAAACAACCTGAAAGGTTTAGGATGGTCTATATTACAAAAATGTGTGTGTTGTTGGAGGGTGCGGGGTCAGTTTAAGAGAGTGAGAGAGCAAGAGAGAGAGAGAGAGGACATGGCATTTACTTAAAGGTTGCTTATTCTCACTTCTGTGATCTGCTTCATGCTTTATTTTTAATCCTAACACCATGTGCTATTAAAAACATATGTTTTTTTTTTTTCGTTTGCATTAAACATATCTGTAAATGGAAAAATCAATCTTTGATAATTGACAGGCTAGTTTGCAGGACTTAATGCTTTTGGGAAGTTAAATTAGAGCTTTGGTTTCAGTGCGTCGGCCATTCGATCCTTGAAGAGCGCCTCATTGATGCTCATGTTATGAAAAATGACTGGAACATATTACCTGACAGTTAGAATCCATTCAGCCATGTGTTTGTGTTTGTGGATCACACGTCTCTACATATTCTCATTAATGAGTCAAATCAACACTAGTTCAAAGCATTCATCCATTATATTGGTAAATATATCAGCGTACAGGCAACGCTGCAGCTATGTTTGTTTTTTGTTTTTGTTTTTTTAGATTAAAGCCACATCTTTATTTCTGTGAAATTTAGATTTGGACAAAAACACTACTGTTGTAAAGTTTTATTTGACTTTAATAACTGGGATTTTCCAGCAACAACAATAAAAAAAACTTTATAGGGATTTATGAGCCAGGAAAATGTCAGTTTGCTTCTAGGGCAGGGGACTCAAACCCCCGACATGGGAACCTCTTCTGACACACACATATTTAGAATTTTTCTAAATATTTTCATTTATTCGAATGCTTCAGTTGGTCAGAAATAGAAAAATAAGCATCAAACTCATTTGTACTGTTGTATTGTACATTATATTTACACCAAAAAGCATTTTTTCCTAAAGTTTGAAAGTGGCAGCAGTTGATTAGGGTTTGAGACCCCTGCTCCAGGCTAAATGTTCTTGAAAAAAAGCTAATGTTCTTCATTGTTCTGCCTCACTTTGAAGCTAATGACAAGTAAGTGTGAACGTTCACACTCAAAGGTCTAGAACTTTTTATACTGTTTTTATTTTTCTTACTGTCACAGAATGACTTTAATAACCAATCTGTGAGAACACCACTAATGACAAGTCACCACTCAGACTAGAAGTCCTTTAGACAAAAATGAGTGGCTGCTGCTCAGCACCTTGAGGAACAAAGATAAGATAAGTTAATGAGAAGAAGCAGAGACAAACACATCCCTGTTTCTATCAGCTCCAGGTTCTCTCCCAAAGCACTAGGTTTATCTTAACAGACCAGTGACTGTAGTGACAGTAAATGGTCACCATTCGTGGCCTGGGGTGGACTGGCAGTCCGTCCAGGGTGTACTCCACCTAAATTGTGAAATTCAGTACAATTGTATTGCAGGGAAAAACAAACAAATGTGCAAATTGACAAAAGAAAAAGAAAAAAGCAGAAAGGAAAACATCACAATAGATACATTATATACATGATAATTAAATAATAATAATACCATATAAAATGTATTATTATTATTATTATTATTATTATTATTATTCGTTGTGGTTTTAGTATGTGTATTCTTCTTGTAAGTACACTAAGGTATTCCAAATCTGTTCCGGGCTACGCCTCTTAATATTTGCATAATTCTAAATAAGTGATATGTATCGTGGTCGTCGCGTGAGCTTTTACTTATTTGTGATAAGTAGACAAGAGTCAGCGAACACCTCCTCCCTCCCGCTGCGTGTGTAACGTGTCGTTAATAGGCTCCTCTCCACACCTCTGGTTGCCATAGGCTAAACATACTGTTGACAGCTCAGTCTGCTGGAGGAACCTGCTGCTGCTGCCGCTGCTGCGTCGTGTCTCCTGCTCCTGCTCTCCACCAGAACAACATGTTTGCAGAAAGGTGACGGCTGCTGTGGTGCGCTGGAGCTGTAGCATTGTGCTTTTAAACAGTAGAGTCAGTGCGCCTCTGTCGCAGCCCGCAGCCAACTTGCCTCCACTCAGACGCGCTCGGCGAGTAGAGACTAGAGCAAACCGTGAGGACAGAGGCTGTGGCTCAGTGGTCACAGCTCGACCCATGGAATAATAACTATGGAACACCACTGGATACTACTCTGTGTCGTTTTACACCTCACCTTCAGTCCAGGTAAGACGCCAGTGGTCGTGCATGATGCGCCACTTCACGCGCACAACTTGTTGCTGTTCACTTTTTGTGTTTTGCTGTGCTTTGCCACCACGGTGTGGGAACTGACTTGGTCTGAATAAGAGGGACACGGTCCACTCATGACAGGACAGTGGACTGTCTCACTTTGTCCGCTTCACTCTCGTGATGCGTTTCTCCACATCGGTCTTTGTTGAGGTGCACTCAGCTGGAAAGGCTGCTGCAAGACAAGCGGGACCGAGTGAAACCTAATGAGGAAACTGGAGACACAGATGTGGACACCAAGTGCGCCACATTTATAATTGATGCCTTTTCCAGACGTGAGAATAAAGCGACGTTAAAAACAATTCATCATTAAGGAAAAAAAACAACAACAACAACAATAGTCTAGGACCGTGTTGTCACAGGTTCGCGTGTTTTCCCTTTTTTCCATAATTGTCTTTATTAGATCTAACTTTATCAAAGTAGCTGCGCCACTATCTATTCGTAGGAAATATGCAAATGCTCTGGTTTAGAAAAACGCACGCACGTGCGGGAACGTCACCACATACTTTGTATTTTTCTCACAGTATAGTCCGTGTGAACGTACATTAGGTTAACTTTATAATATGATAACATCGATCATTTTGCCTATGGACTGAAATTCAAACACAATCTATTTCCGGTCCGTTTCAATTATTTGATCAGACTCTGGGATTTCCCCAGAGGTGATTGGCAAAGGAATATACAGAAGTAGGATGAAAAGCCATCTTTGATGTGAAACTGCAACGATCCGCGAACCTTTGTTTAATTTACTTAGCGCGTCTGGCGCGAGTGAAAGACAGAGGCACACTCCCTGTTTTTGCGTCCTTCTTCTCTTTCTCGTGCCATGTTGTTGTCAGCGGGGAAATTAATGTCGGTAAATAACGTTTGTGTATCGTGTCAATTAAACTGTGCTGCTATCTGTCTGACACTAATAATGGTATTAATCAAATACATAATGATAATAACATTGATTATTATGATGACACAAGTGATAATAAGAGTCATTACAATTACAATAAAGCCACATCATTCTAATCTTCAAACGACTAAAGTCAATTAGTCATTACCAATAACATTCTTAGGGGGAATAAAAGTCAACAAAACAAAAATCAAATTTATTCCACTTGGTGTTGCAATCCCATGGAGAAACTGTGATGTCATGAGGAGTTGACCTCCAGGTGTTTTTCTCAGAACAAAAGTCACTGCTGTACTTTTCCCACACCTGTTTTCAGTTGGTGCAGCAGATTAGATCTTTATTTTTTTGACCCTTTTCGAGCTGAGCCCTTTCCTGGCTTTGACACATTTTTCCAATATTAAAGCGTGACTTCTCCAATGCAGAAGAGTTCGTGTTTACATTACGTATGATTTGGTTTCTTTGGCCCCTTGAGTACAGACAACAGATCACATGTCAGAGCAGGAAGAGTTCAAAGCTGGCCCCTCTGTTGTCACCAAAACCATCATTTAGAGCTGCTGAGAACCATCATCACAAATTTTACGAAAAAGATTACCTCAGGCAGGTGCTGAAAAACAACACATTTCCTAAAAAGGTCATTGAGAAAAGTCTAAGGCACCAGAAGAAAGGTTTTACCTTTATATCATTTATTTGTACAAACAGTTTGATAGTTATGTCTGTTTAAAACACGATATTCTCTTTCACACTAACAATCTGACACTGAGCTGTGGTAGAGTAAGAGCTGATGGGTCACAGGTGGACTGTTTGTTTAAGGGGGCCCCCTACAGGACAGAACATCAGTGCGTACGGGGTAAACTTTCATTTTAAGGAGTGAAGCTTGTTTGACCACCTCTGTTTCCATTTGGGACAGAGTACTGTGTGTATACGGTGTGTTTTTAAAGGTTAGCATCTTGTTTTCATGGGGCTCATGTATCCATTTATTCAGTCGATAACCCTCTTTTCACCTCGGTGGGTAAAATCGCCTTGAAAACTTCTGTTTCTAATGGAATTTCACGCCTCACATCTCAACCTTTCAAATCACTCATTGTCTGACCAATGATATCGAGTCATTTATTTTCCTCTCGAGCATAGTTGCCTTTGATTTAAAAATCTTTTTCTTCCCCCCACAGCCAACACTAAGCCAGTTATTACTACCACTGACAAGGATCACCTGGTCCTTGAGCTCAATCAGGCGTTTGAGCTGCACTGTCAGGGTGATTCAGAGATTCAGTGGGCGAGGGAGGAAAGGCCCAATGTGAAGCTACGGGGTGAGAGAAAGATGAACGGCTCCACCATGCTGCACATCACCAAAGCTCTGCCCAGTCACATGGGTCGCTACGTCTGCTTGGAGAAGAGTTCTGGGGAGCAGGCGTCCATCTACATCTATATTAGAGGTATGTTATCCAGTCTGTGTTGTGGTGTTAACTGTGTGGCACCATGTGGTAGAACAACCAAATAATGATCCTGTTGGATTGGAAGGGAAGTAACGTTTTGGCAGCGATGATGAAGAGTAGAATGTGTGGGCGTTGTTTGCAGAAGACATTGTTTCCTGCTTTGCCCTTGACAGGTACCAGAGATACGATAGCTGTTTAGTGAGAGATGGTTTTTCTGTATTTCTGCACCGTTGCATGTTTCTTACTGCTTCTGTTTCTCAGCCTGTCCTGTCTTGATTCAAATATTTTAGAGTGAATGTGTTTTCATTAGAAAACTCTTCAGACCATTTGCACTGATACAATGTGTGTTAATATGAATATGTAACTTTCACAGTATTGCATTCATCTTTCAGAACAGTCATTGGCCCAGTAGGCTCTGACTGCTGTTAACAACTAATAATGGCATGTCCGATTTTCTTTTTTTTTTTTCAATTATCATTATAACCATACCGTCTCCTGGATGGCTGGCCTGTCAGCCGATTTTGACTCTCCATCCAACAGCTGTTCTCCACCTGAATACATGTAGATGAACTGGTTTAATTCATTGTTTTGGAGTGAACTGGTGTTCAATGGTAGCCAGCAGGTTGCCTTCACAGACCGCCCATTTTAAAAAGACACTGTTATGTAAGAAAGTTTTGTGGTCAGCAAACTAATGACTAAGAAGTCAAAGCCTCATTCAGATGAAACATTTGGAAAGGAAACCCTTGTCCCCGGCTGCAGCAACCGGTTATTTCATTCCAAATTCTAAGGTTGTCTCTGAATTAAAAGCTGCAAAACAGACAAATTTCTCTTTACTCCCTGAAGTATCCTTCCCCTGCTCCATTCTTCTCCCACAGCTGTCTCCTGACTCTGCTTTGTGTGTTGTTATGATGAGCAGGAGATTTTTTTTATCCTCTCATGTTCCCTTTTAATCTGAACAGGAAGTCAGCATGTTCCTGTTAGTCTATCAATTAGACAAAATTAAATATACTACATACATTTCTGCAAAAATAGTTGTTAGGCAGGAACAAGGGTAAACAGAGCAGGCATTCAAATAATGGCTGATATCAGAATTCCACATTAACTGCCCAGACTGTTCATTTGGCCACTGGGTTGTGTGGGGAACATTTCCAAGGAAGTCAACTCAGCTTGGCCTCCTCACAGACAACAGAGTGCAGTACCATGTTTTCAACACTCATTTGTCACGTAGCATTTGGAGGGGCGCTCCTTTACACATCATAAAATGGGCTCTCAAAGAGAGAGAGGAGATGACAGTTAAATCCCCTATGAATAAAAAAAAATGATAATGATAATAAACGGCTTAACTTCTCTAATTAATCAGTCGTCCGGTGATTATACTCGGTCTCACAGGGCCACAGTCTCCTAAAACTCTGTGGTCATAAACGGTAATGAAGAGCTTTCTATATCAATATGCACACTCGTTATTTCAGTTAACATATAGACCAGATGTAGCATGTGCTAACTCCACTGAGTTTAACAAATCACCACAGGCTTATCTCATAAAGTATAACGGTCACAGTATCTGAAATTTACCATCATCCTTCAAATAAAGGCGGGGTTGGAGCCAGACTGTCTCGGAAACTCACGTCATAAAGTTGAACTCCTCCTGTATAAACTCTGTATCTCTATTAAAAAAAAAACAAGATCAAACAGAAACAAACAAACAAACATGAGATCCGTGCAGACACAGCTCTTTGTTGTTGTGTATTGGATACCGTTGACTCTGGTGTTCGGGAGGCACCTCCGTCTTCGCAGGTCATGCATGCTGTAACAAGTGCAAAATGAAAATTAGTTACGTTGGGTTTTTTTTTTTTTACTCTGCAAGAAAAGTCTACCTGGTTCTAAATAACCTGATGGGACTCCTTGAGGCGGTTGGCAAAGGGTTTGACTGCATGAACAATAAACAGAAGTAAATTTACATATTTTTTATTAAATGTGAAGCCAGCTGATATGCCTGTCAACCCAATCACGTGTCAGCATGTCAGCCTGTTTAATTGAAATATTTGTATGTATGACTAGACTGCTGTCTGTTTCCAGGTGTACCTTGACAACCAACTAAACGGTGGTGTCAGTGGTGTCAAGTTTGAGGCTAATGGACCTGATGCAATGGGAGACTGTGTCTTGACGTTGTTTGTAATAATTCCAAGTTTGACAGATTATATTATTGCACTAACTTTTGCTTTTTGGCTCAAATAGTTAGAATTGATTGGTAGAGCTGGGCCGGAACTGGACAGATATTGAAAAGAAAATCTAAGACACCAAAATATCTTGGTTATTGTTGTCTTTGTGTTGAGCAAAGGTAATTGTTGAGGGATAGAAAGAATGCAGTGACATCCTGATAGAATCATCATCAGCCTCTTTGTCACTCTCTCTATTGTGTACTGCGTATTTCTCCTTTGGTGGGTTTTACCACTGGCCTGAAATACAAATGCGCAAATGTAGTTTGCATGTGTGTTCAAGTTTTACCTTTTAGTAAAATCATATTATGTGATGTCTAAACTGTGTTTGAAAAACAATGGTCCACATTCCAAAAACACATAACAGGTAAATATTTTGTGTCCAGAAATCCATTTATAATGAAATAGCACCTCTTGAAGTGAAATAATAATGGGAAGTGTAGTGAATGTTACACAATTCAACTCTGTTATACAACGGAGGTCACATTCTTAAGGTTCAGCAACTTGACACGCTGACTACTCTGGAACCACCTCTGATGTTTGATTTTCATTTCCTCTGGCAGATCCTAAAAACCCCTTCAGAAAATCAATGGTGTTCAACATTCTAACTCGTGTGGGAGACAGTGCTATCATTCCATGCTTAGCAACAGATCCAAGTTTGGACAGCATGCACCTGGAAACATGCTCCAGGGAAGCTCTGGCCTCTGGTCTCCAATATACTGCCAGCCTAGAACAAGGAATAATCATCCACAACACGCAAAAGTCCTACGAGGGTTGTTACGTGTGCACTGGGAAGCTCTGGGAAGAGGACATTCGCTCAAGTGAATACCACCTGATAGTGAAACAAGGTAGAGTGCAGGACTGCCATTGTTAATTCATTGTTAATTAGTCGTGGTGTAACCAAACGTCCTTCAAATACAGTCTACCATATCTGCTATTTGAACATCTTTGCAGTGCCCATCGCTCCGCCTGTGATTGTAATGCAGACGCCCCAAAGAGTCGTTCTCATCCGTAACGAGAGTTTCTCCCTCACCTGCAACACCACCAACGTCAACGGAGAAATCAAACTGCAGTGGGCGATCCCACCTGGCTCGGTGAGACCCTTCTGCCCTTCCTTTTCCATGTACTAAAATGTTGATGAAAAAAAAAGTCATGCAGTCAGAAATCTGGTTGTTCATTATAAAAACAATTATTTAACAATGAAAAGAAAATTAGTTTCACTGACAAACTTAATTATCTCTGTTTACAGTAAACATGGTTACAAATTGATGCCAAAAAAAATACAAAGTTCTGTTTATTCCAACCAGATAGTTGGTCAGTGAATGCAACAAAGACTGACTTCTGAGTAACAGTAGATACTTCACTTAACTTTACTAATACTTTGATAACATTACATTATATGACATTAATGGCCTAATATGTATGGTGCAGGGTTTGTACTGATGCTGGTCAGCTGATCCTGCCAAGATGAGAGATTGTTGCAAATTAAGTCGTTACTGTTCACCTGTCATGTCAGTTACAATGTGGTCGTCTGACTTTTTTTTACACTGCATACTTTCAAGTTTATACCAGCAGCTAGGTCCGAAGTTCACTTTGTTTAGGTCCCATCTTAACAGTGTGTGTGTGCGAGAGAGCGGGTGCGCGTGTGTGTACATGCTGGTGTGTGTGCGTGCCTATGCGGGCAGTTGTGCGTCTCTGTTGGTGTTTGTGTGCTTGGCAAGGATAGACATGCAGACGGGGTTAATCTCTAGAGATCTCTGGGCGTTGACAGGGTGCCGTCTGGTATCCACAGCAACCACCAAAGGTTGACGGCGCTTCACGTATCCAGACAGAGCACTTCACCCATGTGCGCAGCTCCACGTTGCACATCAGAGCCGTCAGACATGAAGATGCTGGGAAGTACTCGTGTGAGGCTGAGAACGAGAAAGGGATCAGTAGACGATCAGTGCAGCTGGAGGTTTACGGTGAGTACACTGAGGTTAGAGCTCCGGTCAACAGCTGCGTGGACCTCAGTAAATCATGAAAATATGACTCAATGACTAACGTAAATGATTAACAACTATCACCTCTGTCTCTGCGGTCAATATTTATATTTGTACTGTGTACAAGAAATACACACAGCCAAGTGTAGAGATCCATAAAGAAAGGGAACACATAAGGAATCAAAGGATACTTTTAATAATAAAGACCATCAGACTGTTTAACTGAAAATGTTTACAGCAGAGGTTTACAATCCCTGGTTTGTGGGCCAATACTGATCTGTGGGTTATTTGGTAGCGGACCAGAATGAAAGAATTCATAATTTACCTCATTTGAATGTCGTTAGTATCATAATAAAATATAAAATATATTTTATTTTGATTTATTTAAATGGTCCTTTGACACTCCTGGATCTACTGGTCCGTGGTACTGGACCGACTGTTTTGAGATTGCGGTCAGATGGTGTTTCTGTTCAGTAAATGCAAAAACAAACAGATTGTCAGCCACCCCCAGGATAAGAGGTGGAAGATTTCTTCCATTATTTTTTGTCATCTAGATCAAGATATCTATTTGTTCCCTCAGGCCTCCACACTTTATGGTTCACATGATCTCAGCAATTCACACGTTGCCTCAGGGTATCAGGATTCTCATATGACCTCAATGACTCAAGATGCCTTAGCATCCTTTAACCCCTTCAAGGGTTTGAATTCGTTTTTGAAGGGTAGGGCTGCAGATGTGAAAAATGAAACCAGTTCAGTTTGTAAAAATATTACGGTGACACAGACTTTGAAAGTGTGTATCAAACAGATTGAAAAAGTTGACTTTAACGTAATGAAAATGCTGATAATGATAAACTTTTTGCTAATCCTTCACCAGTGGTTTTCAAACTCTTCATGCAGCTCCCCTCTTTTCAAATGAATAAAATAAAATTAGAATTAAAATAAATTTAAATACAACATTTTCATTCATGTTTTCACAACACATCAAGAAACTTGTTAAACTGAGCTTTCCCTTTAAATCCCAGAAAGAGGCTTCATCCATCTAAAACCTACGGACAACAGAACCATCCATGTGCGCTCGGGTGAGAGTTTGTCCCTAACTGTTGACATGGAGGTATATCCAAGACCAAAGACTCTGTCCTGGAGCTTCATGGGCTTTGAACTGAAGAACACCACTGACCATGTCATCACCACGCACAGCCAAGACTATAGGTGGGCCAACACGGGAATAACACGAAAGTGTTCATTACTTTGTGTTTGTGGAATTTACCACCTTCAGGTCAGAGCTGGTGGAGCCACTGTTACTGTCACAGCTTCATGAGAAGTACAGCTGCAGTAACAACATTTCATTCCAAGCTGTCTGTGCGCCACGGTGCAGTTTAGCTGACAGTGTGTTGTTACAAATATTAACACTGGATTGTTGAGACGGGTGTGACCTTTAAAGGTCTCTTAAGAGCTGATTCCTTCAAACAAACAGAACATCTAGTAATGTCTGAAACTGATTTTTCAGTTAAATCAATAATCTGTTTCTATAGTGAGAACCATTAACACTGTACTGTACTGTACTGTACTGTACTGTACTGTACTGTACTGCAGATGGATGTACAATACATGTTTGGAGCTGTGTTTTACTTTTAATCAATAAAACCATTAATTAAAACATTTATTCAATGTGTAAAAATCAATGAATGCATTCATGCTGATAATCACTTCTGTCTTTTCCCAGGCTGGTCAGTGAGCTGAGGTTAGTGCGTTTGAAAATGTCAGAAGGCGGGGTTTACACCTTTCGAGTCTCCAACGGTGACGCAGTGGCAAATCAGACGTTCACCATCTTCGTGATCAGTAAGTTGTGTCATGGATTGTGTGAAAGGTCTTTTCTCCCCTCGGGCAACAATATACGATCCATTGCTCCACACTGCATTAATCATCAGCCGCTGACGTGTAATACGTGAAATATGTTCTGATGACCTTTCATTTGCTGTAAATGGGGCCCAGTGCTCTGTCTTTAACTGAAACAACACCCAGCTGCTTCAGTAAACCCTCCTCCCCTTCATCCTCCACCGTTTGAATGTTCTTTAACCCCCCCAAAAAAAAACACTTTTATTGCCCCTTACGAACATGTTTTTACTCTTCTCTGTCAGGCAAACCTGAGATTGTATCTCATGAAGGTCCAGTGGACGGACAGGTGCGGTGTGTAGCTGAGGGATTTCCTGCTCCTCAGATCACCTGGTACTACTGTGAACAGTCCTATATCAGGTAGGTCCATTTCTCCTAATGTCTCTAGAGCTGCCAGTTGAGAAACACGCTGTGAAAAACATTTGTCTCTGATATATTTTATGTTTGTTAAAAACGTTTGAATATTTCTTTCTAACAAGTCTGTGACTTTTTCAGCAGCAGCAGCTCGCCCTGTCATGTTCTATCATACTGTATATGATGAGAGATCTCTTCGTTGAGGACTCTAATCAGATTTAAAGGATGTCCGTTATAAGGCCAAGATAAATTGTAATATACCATAAATTGATGATGTGTCACCAGAGTCAGAGAAACATTTACTGCTACAAACACAAAACATACCATCTCATGTACAGTAAAAAGCAGTATTTTATACTGGTCTCAATTTAGTAGATGAAAATCTGGAAAGCCTGAAATTCCTGTGAATATAAACTACTTTGTTGCTCCTGCTCCTGAAGTAACATCTTTTTTAATATTGATTTATTTAGTTTGGGTGGTTCAGTGGGCTACAGCAGCTCCCAGCTCCCACACACTGTAGTAGCTGCTCACCAACTACATCTGACATGAATGGAGGTGGTAATGGCAATGGAATGAAGGATTCTAACACACTTGACTGGGGTCTTTTCATGAACAGGATGCAAACACTCACCTACCTGCTAGGACAACACCCGCTCTAATTACACCTGTGTCTTTGGCGTACTTCAGACTCTACTTTAAGTAATACTGACAGACTGTCTGAGGTTGTTGTTTACTGGTGTGTAATTACCTTACATCCTCTCTTTGACTTGTATCATGTCAATACCTGCACTGATGCATTTAGTCCAGGAAGTTAGACTCCACACTGATTTGGTTTTTGGTTTGCTTCAGGTGGATGCACTCCTGAAAGAGAAAAAACATACAAAGAAAAATGTCGTATTTTAACTTAGAGTTGCCGTAAAAACCTACCGGGACCTACCGACCCATCTGATTCAAAGAGGGAAGTAAAAACAACTGAACCACGGTGTACTGTTCTGTTTTAATAACTTAGTGAAGGAATGTGTCTCTTTCATGGGTTTTTGAGAGGGAACACCCTCAATGTCCTAACGTGACATGAGATACAAAAGGAACAACGGCTATGGGAGCTCTTTCATCAAGAAAGTTTTTATTTTTTTATTTATCTTAGGTGTTCCCAGCAGAGAAATGCCACCCAGGAGAAACTCAATGTAATCACAATGACATTATCTAACCCTACATTTGGAAAGACCGAGGTGGAAAGTAGAGTTAACATCAGCAGAGGACGCTTCACTACTCTGGAGTGTGTGGCAACGGTGGATGGAGAGCAGGCCTTCACACTCTTTTCTATCAGTGGTAAATGAGGTTTCATTGTTACACAGCGCTCACTGTAGAACAGGATATAGAAAGAATTTAACACCTGTAGAAGGATGTGGCTGTCACCTGTCTAACTCTCTGTCTCACCTCTGCTTCTTGGAAGCAGCCTTCAGGGATTTTTTTTGTGCGTGAAAAAATATTTACTAAAAGCAAAACTTTGTGGGGGATTAGCCCACATCATGGCCTTGTGTTTAGAGGTTACTCCCCTCTAATCTGTTGGTAAACGTAAGCTAAGTTAAATCCATCAGATGTGATTGGCCAAAAGGTTGTGGCTTACAAAAAGGGAATTAGTTCTTTGTTTACTTTATGATTCTAAATCAGCTCTGCTATAACGGCTTTCCCATCTGCTTTACAGTGTTTGTTTACTGTTGTCAGTGTAGGAACAAACTGTATGTAAAGCACTGCAGAGTTGTCCTCGCTCAGAGCTAGAAGACTATGGTTGGTCTGTGGCTTCAGCGTGTACGTGGGAGAGCATTAGGAGGAAGAAGAGTGTCTACGGCCCAGCAGGACAGGCTGCTCGGAGCGCGTGCCCAGGCTTTTCTGTCCCTCTCAATGTAACAACAGACCGGGTGGAGGCGCTTAAACTGTGGAGCGCAGTTGGAGTCCTGGCCGTACTGAGGGGAGGGCGGGGGGTTGTAGGGCAGTGGGAGGCTTGGAGGTGTCAGTGAGCTGCAGCAGAGAGAACACAGGGCTTTAGAAACCACTGACAGGTTTACAGGGGATTAGTTCCTGCAGACGCTGCATTCTCAGATTTGAAGTTCAGAGAAAGCTTCTTATCTCTTGAAGAGCTTAATAAACCCCTCTGTGTGTGTGTACTGTGAAGTAAAACAACAGCCGGAGACAAAAGAACAGAACACTGAAAATGTTTAATTATTCATCAGCACAGCTGTAACATCAACAATAATGTGCATTATCATGAGAATTGTAGCCCAGAAATGACATATGATGTATATTTATATTGTATTGTATTTATTGTTATTGTTTGACAATATTTTGTCATCTCCTGACAGAAAGAACTGTTCCCCATGACCTGTTCACTCCACTTCTTATCGGTTCTGTATCGGCAGCAGGCATACTCTGTCTCATCCTCATCATTCTATTCTACAAGTACATGCAGGTGAAGTAGAAACAAAAGCCCTGAAGTCGTACATGTTCATAATAGTGCCCATCTCAATGTCTATTTTGCATTCACCCACGGCAGAAACCCAAATACCAGATTCAGTGGAAAGTCATTGAAGGCATCCATGGAAACAACTACGTGTATATCGACCCCACCCAGCTACCTTACGATCATCAGTGGGAGTTTCCCCGTAATAATCTGCGATTCGGTGAGCAATCTTTTTTTCTTTTTTTTTTTTTTTAATCTCCTGCAGGATATTTTGATTCAGTTTACTTGTCATTTCTGATACACACCCATTTCCTGGAACATAACAGAGCCAGTATTTGGTGATGTCTTGATGTCAGACCTATTGGTCTGGCAGAAACACAAGTGTTTTTATACAGTGAATTAACTCCACCTTAAGAAGTGTCTTTTTCTATTCAACCTGTACGATGGACTGGATTTACTGCTGCCAATGAAATGTACTTTTGAACACAGCATCACCGAAGGGCTGCATGGTCATCGGCAGCCATAACCACTAGCAATTTAATGGAATTCCTTGAATCTTTCAAGTCATCATCACATCTCAGATACTGTACTGTGTGTGGCCTGTATTCATTACTGTTTGGTGCTGAGACGGTTCCATTATTTTGCATGAACATAAAAGCCCAGACTTGCAAAGACAAAGCTTTTGGTTGATGCTCAAATAAGGTAACCAGCTTATTGTGAAACTTCTTAGTGTGTGACCCTTCCTTGAGGGAAACACCATGATCATGAAGAAGGCCCAGTCAGTGCAGTCCAGCTGTCTGACCGCTGTGGGAATGTGGGAATCTCAACTGCTAAAATGTCTGGTAGCAGGGGACTGGGTTCACGCTCTCCAGTGACAGTGGGTTCATAGTGTAATGTTTATCACGCCTGCTTACAAATCTGCCTCACACGCTGAAGGTCCTGGGTTTGAGCCCCAGGAGAACCACATACTTGGCGCCCCCCGTTGGGCCGCCTGTTGCAGCAGATCTGCTGTTAAAACAACAGTTTCCTCAGTGTGGAAACAATAAAGTTCTCTCTCTTTTTTTTTTTTTTTTACCATATAATGATGTTTAATACCCTTATTATTTATTTTATCAAGACGTAAGAAAGCATTTTTGTAGAAGGAACTACCCATCAGTGCCATAGGCCTGACATTATCACTTCCACCCATTGGCACAAGGCTTGTGGGCACAGGATCAAACTCAAGGCTGATCTGTGGTCACTGCTGATTAAACTAGTTTTATATCTCATTCATGACTCCCTTAGTGCAAACACAACTGTTGACTCGATCTGCGTGTTGTTTTTAATAAGCCATCTAAAACAGGATCCTGCGTGTCCTGGTACCTATGTACACAGCCCAGGGGCTCAAACTGGTGTTGTTTGAGAAGGCTGGCACGGGGCCATATTGTAGGAGGGAAGCATGATGGAGAAATAACAGTTTCGTATTTGTCTACTTGTCCTCAGGGAAGACGCTGGGATCCGGAGCTTTTGGAAAGGTTGTTGAAGCCACTGCGTATGGGCTGTCCAAGTCGGACACTGTCATGACGGTGGCTGTGAAAATGCTCAAATGTAAGTGATATCCATTCAGAGGCAAAGACCTGAGAGTATCAGCAGAGCAGTTACCACTTGACTTACTTATTATAATCTTCAAATGTGTTTTCATGTGGTTTTTAAACCCACATTTTCATTTTCTTTTTATTTAATTTGACACAAAACCTCAATACCACTTTGTAGTAATGACTTTCTGGGTTGTTTTATTTTTTCTTTCATTCCACAGCTAGTGCTCACGCCACAGAGAAGGAGGCCCTGATGTCCGAACTGAAGGTCCTCAGTTACTTGGGACATCACATAAACATCGTCAACCTGCTGGGGGCCTGTACTGTTGGAGGTCAGACAGGACTGTGGGGTCATTGTGTCAGAACAGAAAAGACTTTGAACCGTTCTGTATTCAGGATGACAGTGTCAGTGTGTCATGTGTTAAGCCGTATCACCCTCATAACATGCACCTCTTTGTTAGCAGGCCCTACACTTGTGATAACGGAGTACTGCTGCTTTGGAGACCTGCTGACCCTCCTCAGGCGAAAGAGAGAGTCCTTCGTTTGCTGCAAGCAGGAGGAAGACAGCTACTACCGCAATGTCGTGCCTCAGAGAGACACAGCAAGGTGGGGCTCAATTTTGTAACTAAATTAGTAGTTTATTGTGTTATGGTGAAAAAAAGCAGGCATCAGTATTCACTATCCAGAACGTGCGTGGGAGAAGAGTAGAGGGACAGCACTTTGCAAATGTCTGGCTGTGCTCTGCTAAGACCAGACTGCTCCTTTCCTCTTTACAGAGACAGCTTGAATGGCTACATGTCCATGAGGCCTTCTGTTGCTGGCAACCAACATTTCAGCCCGTCTTCTCTGAAGAGACACTCCCTGAACAAAGGCAAGGAGGAGATAAAGACTACACCAGTTCTTTCTCATGATTGGATGATTCATAATTTCTTGTCATTATTTCAGATGGAATCTACATGGAATCCAATGGGGAGAGTGAGCTGTTCGACGAGGATGGTCTGTCCCTCGTCACTGAAGATCTCATCAGCTTCTCCTACCAGGTTGCTAAGGGCATGGAGTTCTTAGCCTCCAAAAATGTGAGCACTGATATTCTTTCCAAGATTCAAGAACAACTCCTGTCATAGATTCCGCACTAATCTGTGTTGTTGATTCCTCGAAGGATCAAGTGTGCAGCTGGTAAACAGGCCTCAACGGCATGTTGCCGCTGAAAAATTCATTAGACGTGGAAGCAAATATACTGTTGTCACAGAACTCGTATGTCACTGTCAGTGGTTGTGTTACAGAAATCATCTGTGGAAATTCAGCGGCTAATGGCATTTGACAAGCCACTTGACCCTAAACTATTGATTGGTCATGTATAACATGCACGTTTGGTTATTAAGAAAACACACGTTTGTTTGTTCCAGTGCATCCACAGAGATCTGGCAGCCAGGAATATCCTCCTGACCCAAGGCAGAGTGGCAAAGATCTGTGACTTTGGTCTGGCCCGAGACATCACCACAGACTCGAACTATGTGGTCAAAGGAAACGTAAGTTCCCTCCACAGACAGTAACACTGCAGTCTCAGATAAGACAAAAACACCTGTCAAAATGAACCCATTAATCCAATAATGCATTAGCAGAGCGACACACACTATATATCCAATATTTCCTCCAGTCATTCACTTAACTACATACTTATTTGTTGCAGGATTTGAGGGGTCTTTTTTACATACTTTTCATGACTTTTTTTCACATGAATAATCCCATTTCAAACTTTTTTCATATTTTAAAATGATAATGAGAATTTGCATTGATTGGATTGATGCTGAAAACACCATTTCATCCAGCAGAGTATATTCGTATATATATATATGTATACACAGTATAGCTACTCTATATATATATACTGTATGTATATGTACGTAAACCTGCAGCTTTAACCACCTCAAATATTGAAATATTGTAACATCAACTCCAACTCCTCTCACTTTCATTAAATCCATTTGAACTGATAGAAACACAGACGTTTGTCCTTAACTCAGTCTGAATGTTCACACTTCATTACACAGCAGCCGCAGCCTCCTGGTGTGCAGTCAAAGACGGCCTTCACAGAGGTCCTGGTGGAGCCCAGGCTTATTTTAGTATGAGTGGAATAAACCTACACATATACTGTCAGTTTCTACAGTTTGGTCTAAATATGTCTTGTAACTTGATGCCAATGAGACGCTGATGTTAACAGTGGCATTTTATGAAAATAGGAAAAACTCAACCATAAATACAGGACACATTTGCATAGAAATCCAATTATTTTACCAAAAGCTCTTAAATGTCAAAAATCCAGCAACAACAACCACAGCTGCCCACACCGTTGTTTCAGGAACTTGGATGGGATATTTCTGAGGTTGTCAGGAGAGAGCCTCAGCGCTGCACTGAGATCTTTTCATTTGGAGATGTCAGGAGAATGCCGTGCTGATACTTGACATGTGATACAGTCTGTTCTCCTAGCAGAGCTGCAGTAACAACCTGGCTCTCACAGAAAAATACGACTTTTCACTTCACTGCAAGGTTTTTTTTTTGTTTTGTTTTTTTAGGCACGTCTGCCAGTTAAATGGATGTCCCCAGAGAGCATCTTTGAGTGTGTGTACACATTTGAAAGTGACATATGGTCCTATGGAATCCTGCTTTGGGAAATCTTCTCATTAGGTATTGTTATTGTTAATGTAATTACTAGTAGTAGTAGTTGTAAGAAACATGTCTCATTAAAGCATTCTTTCATTATTTGAACGTAGGAACTAGTCCCTACCCTGGTATGCCTGTGGATGCCAGATTCTACAAACTGATAAAAGAAGGATACAGAATGGAAGCACCGGAGTTTGCACCGCATGAAATGTGAGTTCCTTTTCTGTTAGACTGCATACGTTTACTCCTAAATTTACTGCAAAACAAGTAGGAGATCAAATGAGTTCCGACAGATAAAAGTGTTTGTGTGTCCACCGGCTGTTCAGGTTTCAGATAATGAGGGACTGCTGGGACGCTGACCCTGTTCACAGACCCCCCTTCAGGAAGGTCGTGGAAAGGATTGAGCAACAACTTTCAGACGCCACTAAACATGTAGGTTACCACGGGTTGTTTTTGTTTGGGTAATGTTTTGTGGTGAAGCATATCTGAATGGCACTGGAATATTTAACTATGTTATTTAACTATACTTTCCATGTAGAATTTGGAGGCATTTTAACTGAAAAAGACAAATGGAACAGTGTGTGTGAATGCTCGTGCCATACATTTTGTTGAAGTCTCTCAAATCTTTGCTCCAGTAAACAGTTGCTCAGAACCTGCTCAGGAAAATGTTAACCATATTACCTTCTATTTATAATTAATGTAAAAAATAGTTTCTTTTTGTGTTAAATTGAATGAAAATAACACAATATCTAAAATAATACAGTGTGCAGGGACTGCTTTGGTTTCTTTTTTTTAAATAGTAGTCAGACTGCTCTGCAGTAATTGAAATTTTGAAGACTTTTTTTAACTTATTCTCACAACTCATCAGTGTGTCCTGACCCAGCCACATCAAACTCCATAAGACACTCCATAAGTGGTGTGCCTACAGTGTAGTCATTAACAGCAGAGAATACGTTCTTTCAGTGGAGTTTTGCACCATCACTGCTGAGACATCAGACAGAATGAACCCCTCTGACCCCCTTGTTTTCTCCATCTTTACATTTTCTTCTCTGTGATCCGCAGATTTATCTGAACTTCAGCCTCAGGCTTCCTGTGACACCTAGAGTCTCAGAGGAGCCTAGTCCTCACAAAGCAGCATATCATAAAGTCAGCTCAACTGGCACAAACAGTTCTGTGACCCAGCCCTTACTGGTCCAGCACGAGGTCTTCCTGGAAGGAACCTCCCTCACAGCCCAACGGGTCTGAGCACCCACCTGACCTGTCTGGCTGCCTCATAAAGTGCCTGAATTGTTCCACCGCTAAGCATCCAACCATCAGACCAGCCCTCTGTTCCATAACCTGCAGCAGTGTCACATGTTGCAGGATAGAAAAGCAATTGCCATGTTGAACAAGAAAGCACAAAGGCAAAGAGCTTTCATTATTGCCTATAAATGACAGGACTAACATTTGGAACACTGCTACTGACAACTACTCACAACAAAGACCTGGTACCAGGGAGGGACAAGAGCTGTTACTTTAGAACTGTCACACAGTTCCTACTGTTATACACTTTGTTTTTTTCTGCAGGTTTTTTTTTATTATTACATTTCCACAACATTTCATAAAGTTTGTTTTGTGGTTTTTAGACATTCCATTCAAAACAAAAGCTGATGTTTTTGGTTCTGTTACTTTCTTTCTATATGTCTGGTTTTGTTTGTTTTGTTTCATTAACAAATATGTAGCGTCTTCGATTTCAGTTGGCTTTTCCCAGTGTTGGACGAAGAAAAAAAAAATCAAGACACTTGAACTATACATCATTCCATGCTTAGTGTAAATGCAGCTTTTCTTTCTTTTTCTCTCCTTTGTCATCAGTATTATTTCCAACTGTTCAGGTTCAAGTTTATATGAAGGAGATGTTTGTTTGGGGGCCAATTTGAATTATGACTTTGAAACTCTGGTGTATAAGCTACTAAATCCAAGGATACTGATGCTGAAGTTGCAGTAATGCAGTCTGGGCTGAGTGACCACTCCTACTAGATCTGAATATTAACATTACAAAATAGAACTTCACCAACAGCGGCCCCTACAGACATGGTACGCTTGCTTTTCAATTATGTGCTCATTGACTGTAAATGTAAATACTGGAAAGTAATGATGAATGCTGTATTGGAAAAAAATGCTGAAATGGAAAAAAAATGACATGAACAGCATTAAGTGGATGTTCCTCTTGTAAAGCTTTGTAAATAACTGCTGAGGGAATTATGGGGTGTTTTTCCTGCCACTACAATAAGTGTATGAGCTGTGTTTACAAGAATGACAAAAGGTACTGCCATTCCAGAAATGTGTTGTCTGCTTCAAAATGTCTCATCCTTCATATGGGACGTCTTATGTCTGACAAGCTGCTGATGTTTTTTTTGTTTTTTTTTTGCCGATGCTACTGCTGCACTGCTGCGTTGTTAGGTGTGGCTCATGGTTAAAATTGTGCTGGAGTGGACTGCATAGTTACCTGAGATGACAACCACAGACACAGACAGAGTTTTTCTTAGGCTTTTGAGATGCGTTCACCTATAAAAGACACTAGGGTTGGCAATCTCAGTTCTCCAATCACAAGCCGGTTTCCTTTTTTCAATATATCCACTGTCTTCCAAAGGTAGACGGGGTTCTTGTGTACAGCATGTAGTGTATCAATGCAGACCATTTTGATTCTCCTCTTCCTTCAGTTTGATAATGTGAAGAGCATTAGTAAAGTGTCTTGTTGGTGTGTATGTGTCTGAGCGAGGGTGTGTGTGTGCGTGTGTAGGTGAGAATCTACATTCCTTGTGTACATGTATAACTGTAAGATTTAGATATTCACTGTCCAGACGTGCCACATATTCATCAAGTTTGTCGGCTTTTAAACCCAACGGTCTTACAAATTTGTCTTTTTGTAAATACAAAGTACATATAGATTCTGAGTCGATGTTACTGCTTTTAAAATGTGTCTACCTGCATGGAGACGTGGTACGCTGACGCAGACATTTTACTGACTTCTTTTTTGTTGTTGTTGTTCTGATGTGCGCACAGATCTGCAATTGTTCATTTCCCACCATGTCTCCATAGAAACAGACCTGATTTAATTTGTTATTTATTTCATCGTGAGTCTCTCATCATGTCCTCGGAAATATTAGTGTTCAAAACTACATATTATAAGGAACGAGCTGTAACGGAAAATTGGTTATTTCACGTCTGAACGCTCCCTAGCACCTAAAGGTTTTCCTGCGTTTTGCTACATATTTCTAAAGGCTTTAGTATAAAGACATAAACATGATGTGTTGCAATAACATGTGTCAATGTAAATAAAGAAAAACATGTATAATAAATCCCTCATCCTTCATTACATATTATATAGTATGTATTCTGTTGTTACACGTTTAAAACTTTTCCACGCTCAGAGTAGGGGGGTGTATTTATATATATATATATATATATATATATATATATATTATTTTTTATTTTTTTGGCACAATTATATTTTTCCAAGTGCAGTGCCAGACAGCTAACTGTGGGTGAATAATAGTGAAGGTTATTTTCTCAGGTGGTTGTCACAGGTAGTTTATCATCTTTACTTTGTTGTGAAAGTGATGTTACCTGGATATTTCTACAACAGGCATCTGTCAAGTAGAGTAAGGGGTGAAACTCTGTTCTCCTTTTTGCATTTCTTCCTGCTTTACTCTTAAGCCCTTGGCTCCAGGCCACAGAGGGACATCTGGCCATGAGGGGGAAGCCAAGAAGAGGACAGCAACCCTTGAAACAGACAGGCCAGTGCACAAATTTGCGTGGGCAGCGTCCATTGTTTTAGGATCTAGCTGATAAGAAACAAGCAGGAAATCCCACCATTGAAGGAGAGAACGCATGAATGCAAATGTTTGTTGATTGGCCCAAAGGAAGTTTAACACAAAAAGAGACAGAGCTCATGTGAATCAAGGTTAGAATTATAGCAATAAGCTGTGAGGATATTCAGCAATAGATGAAAAATTACAAAAAAGTAAAATATTGCCTGCCACATCATTAAGTAGTTTGTTTGAAATGACACAATAGTACAGTGATTTTTTTTATTTATTTATGCTTTTTTATTCCTTAATCAGAACTTAAAAGGGACATATTTATGTTTGGGTTTTTTTTTTGTTTGTTTGTTTTATTCAAAGAAACTTTGCCTGATTTGCTGATTTCAACATTACAGTGCTGTTCAAAGAGAATAAGACCTGTCATCCCCTCACTGATTAACAACCACTCTCTTCCAAAAGCAGCACTTGCATTGTCTTCCCAGTTCCAGCATTCCTTGAGGGCGAACAGGCCTATGCCATGCTCCAGATCCATATCATCATTTGTACTAACATCATCTTGTTGAAGCAAGACCAATACACACATATTAATGCCAATTTCAAGGCTTTTTACAGTGAAATATTATGCAATACATCTGTCATTTGCTTCTTGAACATTAATCTCTGTTTCTTCTCCTCCTCCTTGAAAAATGCCATGGCATAAATCCAAAAAGAAGCTTATAAATTCTATTTAGCTCTAGATAATAACCGAGTCAGTGTATTAGACATGAGCACAATGTGTTTACTGTGCAGCAGGGCTCCTGTAGTGGCTCTGATTGCTCAACTCACTGTGGTTCCCCACCAAGGTCGTAAATTTAAAGAGCTTGTCATTCTGCCTCAGATACAGTTTGTGGTACATCTGTCAGTTTAATGTAAAAAGTCTCTACTGCATAATTTTGGGTTCAAAGGGGCATAGAACGAATTCTCCTCTTCCTTGAATTTTATAAATGGTATCAAATGTGTTTTTTGTTGTTGTTTTTTTAGAAAAACTATTAATGTTGTTTTAACTCCAGGGTAGTCTTAAAAGGGCCTTCCTGATCACGTCCTCTGCATCATGCGATGCTTCATGACTTCCCATGTGATGCCCCAGATTCATCCATCCTTTGTACAGAGCCTCTAATAGAATAAAACAGATAACATCTCCATCTCTGATATGAATACCAGCATTGTTTTCACCTTGAATTTACCAATAAGACAGACAGACTTGAAAAAAAAAACGTTTGAAATTTATCACTTGACTGGTGCGGTGACTAACGCGAATCTGTGCAAAATCGCAAAAATATGGGTTTGGTCTTGAACATATTTGTACATGAACATATTTTACTCAACAAAGCTTTAATATTGAGATTGCGACAAAAAGGATTTTAGGTAAAAATTTTGTTGAAAATAAAAATGTCCTACATGTATGTAATAATGTATAATAATAATAATGTATTATTAATAAATTACATTATATTATTATACATGATGAACTCTACTGTGTATTTTTTTTGTCTGTGATCTATATAAATTGGGGACCACTGAAGTAGCTTATCTACTATGCAATTATCATCATTAATTGTCAAACTATTAAAACGGAATCTGACTCAACTATTCCAGCGTGTGTAAAAGGTATCAACTTTGAATCAACTATTTCTTAGCAGTTATTTAACACACTGCCATGCCAATAAGGTGGCATAGATGTCAAACAAGACATGCTTTTCAGGTTGCTACCACTTCCCACATTTGCTCAAGCTGCTCAGGAAACCCTTGGGTGCAGTCTAACAGAGGCTAGGACGCTGCTGCTGCAGGCTGACAATCAGGGCTAGAAGCTCGGAGATACACAGACCGCAGCAGAAGGGTGCCTGTGTGTGTGTCTGTTTGTGTGCATGTGTGTGTGCACATGAGTTTGTGGGTTTGGGGATTGAGACGCAACATTTTATCTAAGGTACACTGCACTTCCTCATGTGGTAAGGGTGAACCTTCTGTTCCCATCACTGCCAGGTCAGTTACATCCCCACTTAGCCGGTACTCAGAACTGGAGCAGATGGCTGCTCTGACTGTTGTAAATATAAAACTGTTCAAACATCAGTAACTTTGTTTGATTTGTTGCACTGTTTAATTTTCCCACTTCCTTAAGAAATAGAATTGTTACGACACGGTGCATGTTAACGTGCAAACACTACAAACTATGGTTGAGCATGATATTTGCTGGGAGTTTTTCTACTGCAGTAAAATAAGTGTTAAATTCATAAGGAAGTTTGGGAAAACTGGTCAAAGAGGAAGCTGCAGGTGCAGCGCTGTACAGGTGAACAGTTAAACCAACTCCTCAGTGTGAGTCATCTTTTAGACAATAATTAAATAGAACTTACACAGTGCAACTGGGTTGAAAGAAACATATTAATAACAATAATATTTCAAATGGAAAATGATTTTCAGAACAACATTATTTGTATCATATCATATTTCTAACCAAAAGGTTGTTTCCCTTCTGGGAAACCCCTTCTGGCCTAAAGGTCAATTAAAATAATTCCATACAGTTTCTTTGTCTTTTGTTTGTGTTTCAATGTTGTTGTTGTTTGTCTTTTTCTTTCTGTTTACTGTATCTATCTAGTCTCATGAAACCAATACTTGAGCCTCTAACAACACTGGGTCAGAAGATATCACTTGTCTGCTTGTTAAATATTTAACTGGTGCTGTAGGGTTGACAAAAGCAAGGTATTGAGTTCATTTCATTCTCTGGTTTCTTTGGATCTGGCCAGACGTGGCATTTATCCACAGATGTCTGTTCCAAAAAAATGTCAATCTTCTCGACTTATTGTAAATGTTGGCTTGAGGTATAAAAAAAAAATATATATTTTTCTAAAATGGTCAAGCATCAAGACTTAAAGTAGTTCACACAATTAAATCAACTAATCAATCAAATAACAGGCCCACTGTGTGTTAGGTGTTAGGTCTCCTAAAGGCAGTGATTAGGGCACATGTGAGCAGGCACTTACGGGGCACCTTTTGGGGTCTTCTGGTTAAATTACCAGGTTGACAAGATTAGCCAATACTGCCGTCATATTTATGTCCCTACGTGCTTTCAGGTAAGCAATTGGGTAGGAAAACTGTATACAACTTTGGGAAACAGACGTGTGTGTAGCGTACATGTGTATTGGAAGTTGTACCAAATATGTTTAAGATAATGTCCACCCGAGCTAATAAGGTTTATATCGCTTAATTACCTTACGTAAATAATGCTGTGGATGTGCGCGTGCGTGCGTATGTGTGGGAACAACGTCAGTGTTATGGCGTAGTTGAGATACTATAGATAGTGAGTACATCAGTAAGTACATCACTAAATCATAGTCAGATGAGCCAGAGCGTGCAGTCACATTTAATGATGCCCGTGTTTCTGTGTTTTCACACGTGGAATAAACTTTTTAAAAACAACTATGCAGTCCTAGAAGTGTCTTTTGTCTAAATTTTGTGTGCAACAAATATTGTCAAATTTGAATGTAAAATATAATGTCCACTAAATGTTTATTATTGTAAATTCTATTTAAACGTTACTTTTAGCAATGTAAAATATATACGACATTCCCAGGTGTCCCGAAGCAGAGTGCTGTAGGACGTTAGGTAATGACTGTATGGTCTGAGGAATTCTAAGCCTGTCATTTCTCATAATCCTTCAACTCCTTCACATATGGTGTTAATGACTGAGCAAATCTGTGAAAACATGTCTTCAAATACCAGTGTTAAGGTCTTTTAGAAGAGGCTGGTGAGTGGCTTCACACCTTATTCAATAATAAACCTGCGAGGGCTTTACCAGTGATAAGTAATAAAACATACGTATCCCCATAAATATACTGTGTAATACATTTTTTTACATTTGCACCATATGTACAGGAGTCCAGGGAGTAAACAGGCCACTACACGTTATCAGAGAAAACTGAAACATATGATTAGTATGGACTACATATTACATTCGTTTTACAAAATGTGCGTGCTCCTCTCACAAAATATTTTCTTCCAGGTTACTGCCATTGTCAGACTCTTAGTGGATGATGTTGAGCTTGCAGTTCCTCTGTACAGTAAATCCCTGTATTCCATGTAAGTAAACTGCAACCTTAAATGTGCTTTTCAAAATTGTATTTGTGTGATCGTGCTATAAGTATTTTTGTCAATGTAGATTTAGACTGATAGACTGATGAGTGAAAAAAAAAATCTTTCTCGAACCAAGTCTAACATCAAGTCAAATTTGAAACATATACAACAAGAAATCATCCCGAAATCAACGCTGATATTTACAACAAAACATGAATTGACAGCAATCTTCTACTGGTCCATCCTCATTAAATCTGATTAAAGTCAATGGTCTATTTTATTACAATATTGTTAATGCAATAATAGGGAGATACACAATCTGTGTCCTTGGGGTAAGAGAGTCAGGCATATTGCAGGTTCAAATCCTAAGCAAGCACCGGGTGTGTTTCTCCTCTGGTGCTTCTAACATAGATCACTGCTCCTCAGGTTTAACAAAAACATTTTGTGGATGTATATGTAATACGTCACACAAGGACACATATTTGTCTGTATGTGGACAATAATAATAAGTAATAATAATAAGTGATTATTTTGTGGTATTTCCCTCTGGCTTCTTTCATTTCCTCTTCCCTGTTTTCCTTTCTCAAGCTAAATTTAAGCCCCACCTTGATAAGGTTTACAATCTTCAAGTCAGATTGTATCAAAGACTTTCACTGAACAATAAACACATGATCCGTAAAGTGTCAAAAGCATTCTGTCAAATATATGTGACCGTTTTATTTTGTTATCAAGACTGACTTTACTATAAAAAACAGCAAGTTTTTAATTGTTTTTTGCTTAGGTGAGGCAGTTGTCACTGTGCTGCCTGAGGCCATGACAAGCACCCGGTCCTGATAACATCAGCTACTGAAAGTCATTATTCATCTGTTATGAATGTAGAAGTGTTATTGACCCTACCAGACAATATTTTTTTAACGTAGTCTGTTTATACTCCAGATAAAACAAGGTAATGTAGAAGTTTTTTTAATGCCCAGTTGTGACTTTTTTTCTTCTTTTTTTTACAAATTGGAAACAACGTACATACTCTCCTAATGATCTCTGTATAATTTTAATTTGTCTGTAGCCTACAGTAAAACCAGGTAAAGGCCATTGTCAGTTGGCTTCAATAGGGCAGCACTGGATCTAGAGCAGTGGTCCAAACCCCTGACCTGGGGGCAACATCCATACATTAATTTTACTAATGGGGATTGTTTTGATTGTCTTTGTTATTGTTTTGTTTGTTTATTCATTTACTGTACTAATTTGCCCTGATGTATTATGAAATATTTATAGGATCATACAAAAATAATAATTTTCCTACTTTGCTATTTGTTTCTAAAATATTTTTTTATTGAACATTGCTAACTGATGTGGTTGTGAAATAACCATGGCAGCATTGGCCCTAAGCTCATTTGAGTTTGAGGCCCTTGATTGATTGGACAAAAGTGAGAAAAAATGTGACTTAGTTAATTAATGAGCAGTGGGCAGCTTAAAGCTTGTCCTATGTATACCGCTTGACAGCATCTTAAAAAATGCACCAGCGCATTGACAGCAAAAAAAAAAAAAGTTGGTGTTCAGCCTTATTCTAATTTGTATTTATACTGTTTACAGTAAACTGTTTCAGTTTTCTATATATTTTGAACACAGCTCAAATGTATTTAGTCACTGTTCGTGGGCTGAATGGAAACACAGACATGTAAGTTTTGATTGACTCTCTTTGGGACTTGTTCCAACAGGTTTACTGATGCTCACGACAGTGAAGCTGTGGCAGTCATTGGTGGATGAACATAACAACCCTTTACAGTAAGTACAGTAGTTAACATTCCTGTCACACAGTGGACTCTGTGTCTTGGGTTCTCACGCCTAAAACCACACAACATAAACAATAAGCAGTTTGAGCCATTTGTATCAACTGCATGTTTGATATTTAAAATGTCCCTCCCCTTTTGTCTGTCCACACATCATCTGGGCTATTGGTACAACAGTTTGCACACATGTCATATAAGTCAACAGTTAGGTACCCTTTAGCTCTTTTTTCCTAATTAATTTAAACACCACAGAGAAAAATATAACCGTGGAGATTCGCTTTTAGGCTTTCGTTCTTTAGTTAGTTAGTTGCTTCCTTAAGCAAAGGTTTGTAACCCCCAGGAAAAGGCTATAGGAACAATTTATATATTTGTATTATTTACTGTATTTTATTTTTTATCAGTAATATTGTTTCCCTCCACATATTACTATTCCTTCTTAAGGAAATGCTTTTTGTTCTTCTTTATGTTTGAAAATATAAGGGCTTTCCTTAAAGAAAAAAAAGTTGTTGCTTCCACACGGTAAATAAATCATCGCCATCAGGAGTTCTTTTCAGTTTGAACCCCAAGCAAAAAAAACAGTCCTTTTCTTGAAGTTGTCTTTTAAACATTCATCACTTCAACCCCTGCAACTTTACTTGGATGTTCTGTGGGTGGCAGTTCCAGATGTTGGGTAAATATTCAGCAGCTCACCTTTCTGTTCAGGAATGTAGAGGAACAAACAGTAGACAGAGCCATGTCCAAACAGAGCAGCAGCAACATGGCAGCTTTTATTTGGAAATTATAAAATTGATGTAGGTAAAAAGAAAATATATTTGTAATACACTTATAGATGCAGCAAAACAATATAAAAGTATTTTTAAAAATGTGGTGATGACATAATTTAAATAATTTTGTCAAGATTGTACATAATGATTTGGCAAAAGAAATGTACACCATAGCTTTGTAGCCATGACAAATATTTTATTTTTATTTTTTATTCTCCATGGTAAAAAAAATAACATGTTCACAAGATTCACCAGGACTGTGTATAATAAAGAGGGCCAATAAATACAAGTTATCACAGGCATGTTGTGAGATACAGATGATTAAAGATGTTAAAGAATATTACCTTTGTCTGTTTTGTAATTATATGTGGTCTTATTAGGTGTAATATCCCTGAGGCCAGGCAAGCCCAGATCTTAGCAGGGTTAAATCTAGTATAAAGTTCACAAGAGCTTTAAAGGCTGTTGACCTGAAACTGGAGCTCCCTGCTTAATCTTTCACAACATACTGCATTGTCTTGGCTTACCCAGACTTTGGTATAATTAAATTAAAACAGAACAGAGGTACAGTACATAGTGCGGGCAATAATATGATTCCTGACTTTTGCAGCTCCTTCGTGCTGTATCTCTTTGCCTATAGAAGTGTGCACCAAACATCCTGTGTCTGTTGATTTTTCTGAGTAAGGATGTCAGTCTTCCTTCCTCTACAAACTGAGCTGTTTACAGCTAAACAACTGACAGAGCCTGGACATGGCTACAGTTTACCAGAGCAGTATCATGGACACTTTTTAAGCCACATGGTACAAATGTGAACCTGACTAAACACTTGTAACCTCATTTCAATAAAATACAATTTGATAAATAGGTGTAAACACTGACAGCCTTTTTTTGTGTGTGTTCAATTTTGACTCTATTCTTTTCAAGTCACCTAGAAGTATATTTCGCAATTTCCCAGCACCCTGTAATTACTGTTATTTTACTCATTTCAAGGATTGCTAACACTTTTCCTGTCACATCTTTCTAACATATATTCAGACTTGTCTTAACAAGAAAAATGCATTACTGGTTCATTAACATACATTTATGATGGCTATTCCATTTATTGCCTTGTTGTTTTCACTTACAGCCAACTGGAGCAGTATGAAGTTAAAATGGAATGCAGCAATGCAAATGCATTCATTTCATCCCTGTATCCATACAAAAAACATTGGAATGTTTGAGGCTTCTTTTTCATGTATGTTTTTGCAAACACCTGGCAAAATGCCAACATTCTTCTATCGTAGCTGTTTTTCCAATCAGCTGCAGTTACACTGAGGTTATGCCAATCTGAGGTCACAAATCAGTGGTTGTTGGGGTTAGCACAGATGTGTCATAAAAAGTCAGAGTACTGTCTGACAAGGTATTACGCTTTAGATATGATCAGCTTTAAAAAGAAGAGAAAAGAAGAAAAAAACTTGGAGGGATAGTTAATTGCTGTGTTTGATTAAAGAGATGCCCTTGAACAAAACAATCTGCTTCTTCACTTTCATAATTTCATAATTTCAGGCACTTTCATAATTCATTTTAATTAAGTTCAAGTAAAAAATAATGGTAGTGAGTCTTTTTTAATTTATTGCTTCATTTTTTCAGCTTGTCTAAACATTATGAAACCAACTGATTGGCCCACTTTATTTTACTTATGTGGTTCCGTGCATGTCTTGGGCCACCTGTGTTTTTGTCATGTTGTCTTATGCAACAATGAGTAAATTAAATGAGTGAATTGTTCTTGTGCAACTGATCTAAATTGACATTAAAATGTTGTTGACGAGAACAGGAGAGTTATTCCAACACTAATGTAAATTCAATTGTTATTCGATAACATTATTTTTTACTAACATATGTTTGTAAAAGTACATTTGGTGGGCTATCCAACAAAGTCCTGGACCTTGAAAAGTATGTGAGGAAACTGTGTGCGTTGATAAGTGATTGGTTCTTAAATATTCACATCCATTAAAAAAGATAAGTGAAAGAAACAATGTAAGTGAAATTAGTTGACACCTGATGATCTCTCACGGCGCACTGACATGTTGTGGCACATTAGTTGGGAATCGCAGGTATAGATTATTCTAGATTATGCAAATCAGGACAGGTATTTTCCTATTAGATTCAACTTAAACTAAAAATATTATATTTTTAAGAATTGACTTGCAAAATGTAGAACAAAGTTTGATTGATTGCAAAGATTGAACCTTTTTTCTTTGGATTCTCCTTTCATACCTCTTTTTGAACTACGACTTGACAAGTAGTAATTTCTTTCCATTACTCTGCCTCTGGCATATTCAGCTGAGTTATTCATCAGAGAGAATCATCGGATTTGGTTAAAACCTTTTGAGGAATTAAACAGTGTTATTCCCCTGCCATGCTTTCCCACTGAGAGGAGCCATAATACACATCTGCTGGGCTGCTAAGGAATTACGTTAGTGTCTGATGAGAACAGTAATAACCTGAGGGGGTCTCCTTCCTGTACAGCTGTGCTTGGCCAGAACAACAATATTTGGGAATGAATAATTCAAGCAACACAGACAAACCGACACTGGTGACACACAGTGGATACTTCTCTTTTCCTTGATATGAATCGTAGTCACTGTCCTTTTCCAAAGGAAGGAACCAGCAGTGTTATCTTGACAGAGACAAAAACATCCTGAGAGGTCGTACTTTCTTGCACCTCCTACCACAGCCGTCCTCTTTGCTTTTAATATACAGCAGCTGGGTGACCTCATGAGAAATTTGTGAATGGACAGTCCAGCACGCTCTTATCTGGCTCTGCAGATAGCAGCCTGTTGTGGGACCATGAGACACAATAACAACACATCCTGTTTTACTTACTACATGCTGGAAAACTGGGCACTCAATTCTTTAAAAACATGAATCACTGACACATGAATGACCTGACATCAGATGGAGAGATCCATTACATTAGCAGCATTTAAATGAGTCACTTCTTTTATATCATCTTTCGTCACCTGCGCCTTTGTTAAAGTCTTAACAGGAAGCTTGGGTGTATTTAGATTATTGCTTGTCATTACAGTATAGATCATGGTTGATCAGCTTCTCATAGATTACTTTAATGGTTAACTTACTGAGGTAAGACATTGATAAAATGATCTAACAACATTTGAATGTGTTCACAATGTAACTTTTTCTGGTCATACAATATGAATTATTGGGTATCATTAGTAGGTTAAAAGTTATGGTAATTAAGTTTTCATTTTTTATACTGTGCAAAGCAGTAAAACTGGAAATCCTCAGAAAAATAACATGAAGGAACAGGAAGGAAGCAGGAATATTCAGGATCATGGCTACCAAGATACTGATAATACTTTACAATACAGCTCCATATAGGACAGGGTAAAAACCCCTATAGAGGCAAAATAGAATAGAATAGTCAACACTGAGTCATGTGTATTTCAGGATAATAAAATACTTTCTAAGTTCTAAGTACACAATAACACACAAGATTGGTGATTCACTTGAACCTGAACTGAAAAGACGCCAAAGGGTCGAAGGGGCCTGACTGTTTGTGCTGTACTTGGGAAATGTATTTTTTAAAACAGGGGCCTTAGGTGCAGTTTGACTTAAAATGTTCACATATCATTATCGAGACTAAATAGAAACAGAGCGTTAGCCTCAGACTCAGCCTTTGAAACCGAGGGCGCGTAGTGGCTTAACACACACTCTGCTTAGTGAGAAACTGGTCTGCTGATTATCGTCTGCAGAGACATTATCCTCAGAACAAGCCATTTAGACCTATAAACAGCTAAAGCAATAATGAAGAAGTAGAATCACTTTTAGATTATTCCTTTTTTATTAGGCTATAACAGTAGTCTGCATGGTGATTTTACAGAGGTTTTACAAAAGGCTGACCTTCTCAACCTGGGATTTGGAAACTAGGTGATATCAAGCCTGCAGCCTTCTGGCGCCTGGTGGGAGTCCTGCCACTGTACCATGCTGTAGTCTATAGAAATAACATAAACTGCTATTTGTAAAAAGATATGGGAATCAGAGTCACTCTAGTTTGTGACCTCTGACCTACTAGGCTGGAGCAAACAACCACGCTTTCATGAAGTACATAGCTACTTGGCCTCAGAGTAACTTAAGGAAGGTATTGTTTCTTAACATAAGACACACACCTGAGTCTGAGTAGACTAAGATTTGACACAAACAAAATGAAAACACGTTCTGTATATAAATGAATCCAAATTGTACTTTGTTTTTCTGGATAAAAGGACTACTACTAGCTACTTTTAATTAATCCAGGGATTATATTATATCCTAGCAGCACAGCATCAAACGGACAACTACAACCACAGACTGTTGAGAGTTTTTTTTATACAATAAAAACTGATTACACTTCCAAAACAGGAACTGCAGCTGTTTTCAAACCAACCAAATGTGTCATAAATAGATGTGACCCAGTGGTACACTTGCCTCAGTCTAACCAGTTTGCAGCTGTCAGATGAAATTAACATGGTGGTTCTGGGTCACCATGAAAACTGAAAATCACATCTGCCCCCAACAAACCTTTTAACCGTAGCTTCTTGACACAACGTGCTCTGGTTTAAATGCCCCACATGAGGCGTGTTGAGGGTATGAATGTTCTTGTTTTGTCAGATCATACTGTTTGGGTTTCAATCTTTCGTAATGTGAGGTGCCATGAGGATAACCTTACAAAAATACATTTTCCAGTTATCCAGCTGGATGACAGCCAATTGTCTTAGATTTATCTAAGGCCACAAACGGTTATTTTACTATGCAGTAAAAAAAAAAAAAGTAGGTCTACAAGGGATGCTGATCTTTAGACCCAAATAAAGCCACTATGGAACAGACAATGTTTTAGAGAATAAAACTGTCCATTTTCCATTTGTCCTCAAACATAGATTATAATTTCACAAAATAAACATGTCCTGTGAAAGAGGGCCTGAACCAGTTGACAACCTTCTCTACCGGGTGCCGTACATTCCTTTCTTTTGGTCTAGTCAGTTTGAAGAAAGAAAACATACCTGTAGAAGACAGCCCCGGCCATAACTCCACATCAGTCACAGGCTTACACCAGTTACTGATGTAAACATGATCAGACCGAAGCCTTCGGCTCCAATTGAACCGACAGGTCAAGTCAAAACGACGCCATCACATTCTGCACTCGCTCCAGTCAGCTTTGAGCCTCCTGACCTCTACTTAGTCTCAGGAGTCTCTTAAAATCTGTCCTCAGTGTTTGACAAAATGCTGTCTATGCTGTCCCTTTCCTTCTCTCTCTTATGATGACTGTATTACAGATCTATGCTAGTTTAAGGGTCATGGTTAGGGCGTACTGTACTGTACGTCTTTTAACGTTATTGTGCAGTGCTGCCGTTTAAATGTCTATATAAAAAAGCAGTTCATATATGCTGTATCCAGACGAAACTTTTCCCTCAGTTTGTTCTTTTATAATTTTCGTTCTTAAAAAAAATACCACATATTTCAAATCAATAGGATGTAAATTAGTTGGACCATTTAAAATTAAGCAAAAAAATTAAATTAGTTGGAAAAATATCTCTTTTATCAATTACAACACATATCAGTTGACTCTATTTAATTTAATTTAATTTAAGGTTGAAAAACACTGGGATTGAGTTTTTAATCCTCCCACATTTCATTTTGCAGTGTCATATCATGGACAATACAAGGCACTGGTTATTGATGACACTGGGATGTAGGAGGTGCTTAAAACTAATAAAAAAAATTAAAATCATGTCCAGAGTAAAACTAATAAAAATAAAAAAGCAATTAGTAAAACGTAACAGTAATAACAGTTCTGTCAGCTAGAAAATTCCTTCCAATGGAAATTTAACTATGGGCTTTTAAGTCGACCTGTAATTGGGTGTTATAAATCACACTGAGAATGCATATGATGTAAATCATTACGTTTTAAGATGCAGGTTAGGTTGATAATAAAAAAGAGCAGCTGTGTTTTGTAGCACACCGACCATTGTTTGTACAGTCAAAGAACTCGCAGCACGTCCCGCAGGTAAAAAGTAGGTGTGACTTATAGGTTTGTTGTCTGTGACCAGAGGCCATAACAGCCTAACTTCACCTTTCACCCCTGTCACAGAGCAGCTCCCATTCCATACACGACTGACGACATACGGGAAACCCCACAACCTTTGCCTTTGTTTGACTGCAATAAATCATCTCACTTTATCATCACAGCTTCTTCAGTGATGTGGGTCTATATATTCTTGAATTAGCACCTGTCAATTCTGTACAAACAAATCCATATTTGTTACCACATTCTCTGCTGTTATCTGAGACATTAGCATCACATTTTAATTTGCTTCAGGGCTGAGTCCTCCTTGCCTCCAAATGCCACCGCAGTGCTGCACCGAGTTAGTGCTGGGCTGTTTTCATATATCATAGCCGTCGATCTTGTCTGTCAGTTGGTGGGTGACAGCCTTGTTGGAGCAACCTTCACCAAGCTTCCGGTGCATCACGATCAGTGCAGATGAGCTGTCATATATCTGTCAGGATAATAGGTGAATGCATGTAAAAGGCATGTGTGACTGATGTATGACCAGACGATAAGATCAAGCCCAATTAGGCATTAAAAATCATTTTACAGTCTAATTGGAGATAACTGTAAAAAATACAGCGAGTGACACTCAATGTCAATCTGTCAACGTCATTTATGGTGAATGCAGTTCTGCGTACTGAATTACTAATACTCTTATCTGATGTGACGGAACATGAGTAGAAGATCAAGGAACATTATAGCTGCAATTCTCTCTTTCGTTGTTGTCGTTCCCTTCACACCACACAACATATGACATGATTATTTTTTAACTTTTTATAACTTCAAACTGAGTGTTTTAATAAGTTTAATAAGAAAAATGTATGCTTTTAAGGATTAACTAAGTAGTTGATCCTTACTGCAGATTTTTAAAGGGCCACAGAAGGTATCTGTTGCTGTGATCTGTCAATCAGGGTTAGCCTGTGGCGCTCCCGACTAGACTGATTCAACTCCATAGTTCATTTTACGAGCCCTTCAGAATATCTAACTACAATATATAAAAACAAATGCACAACAACATGATTCAAGTCACACACTGTGTTGTTGTCGACTACAGAAAAGTGGCTTAATACAGTTTGTTATGAGACACTGTGTAAGCACATGGATTTAGCAGCATCTAGTGGTGAAGTTACGCGCTGTAACTAAATATCCCTCAGCCAAATCAGATGTACAGTGGTTATTCAGTTATTATTGAAACACACACAGAGATTGTCTGCCCTCTCTGGGCTGATGTTAAAACATGGTCATTCGGTGTGGCCATCTTTGTTTTAAAAATGAATACTTAATATCAGGTTTAGTCATAAAAATATAATTCGAGGGATAAGGGATCATGTTAATCCGTACTTTGAGTTCGAGTGTATCCAACAGTAATCATGTCAACTGTTTTTCCTAAATGTTAGGCAGTCAAATAGAATTTTGGGGGGAAAAAATTCACCACCATTCAAATCCATGTTTTTTAATCAGTGTTTTTAATTAGCCTCTTCCAATTATTTTTTTTAAAAAAAATGTCCACATCTGTCGGTCACTTTACTCGACTATAAAAAATGTTAGCATAGGTGTAATAATAAGTAATGGATAAAACCTGATGTATATCTTTGAATGAACAGAGCTGGTTGTTAGTCCGTCTCTGCTGTGTCCTGCTGGAATCACTGACTCTTCCTTAAAAGCTCAACCTTTATTGTTATTTACCCTCAACTGCCCATGTCGACAACTTTTGATGCAACAGTTGTAAGGAATCCTACACATGCAGTTTGTACAGCTACACTCAGAGTAGTAATCACGATGCGAATGCCAACACATTTCCTTCAAGTGCAGAGATCTGCTTATGTCCTGTTTGTCCATTCCTGAGGAAATTAGACTGAGTTCCAGCAGTGGCAGATTTCTCTGTTTTTTCTCTGCCCCACGTTTTCAACTGCGTAAACCAATAATTTGAAAAGTTTTACACCCATGTGACCTGATAAGGAGGGGTTATGTGCTAATAAGATATTTGGGAACAATGCAAGTTCATTTTTTGGACAACAGAGGGCACTGTTTCTCAATTATTATTACCGTTCGAAATTTATTCAGACAATTATTGGCGTAATAACGTTAATAAGTCAATAACGTTAAGGAGTTGGATTTCTGGCTGATCCTTATTTTCAATCCTGTTGAATGTGTCTTTGATCTGAACGACGGTTAATGTAAAACTGTCTGCATTTTTCTAATATAGAATTTGCTCCATTTTTTAATTCGAAAAATGCATTTCAAACGCTGTCTTCAGTCCACCTGCTGTGCCTGACTCATGTCCTGTTGTACAAACGCTACGTAATATTATGTGAGTAAATTAGAAAACAGCCCTCAGGGTCTGAGAGCAGTTTCCTGTTGTACCTAAAATTAGAAAACCTTGTTTCTCTATTTGTAGACAAAACAATTTGTGTTCCCATTATCTAAGACCAGACACATGTCCGAAGTTTTTGGATCCAGTCCCACTGCAATCTTACTGGCAATCAAACTTTGTAATTTTATTATCCTAAAGTTAAATGCTTCCATAATCTGTTGCTATAGATGTGTTGAGTGACTTTCTCGCTCGAACACCTGTTTTAATTCTACATTGTCATGCTGGCACCTTGACAGAGTGATTATGGACGACACAGTATGAGCTAACTGGAACTGGGGAAAAAAACATTACAAACCACCAAGCTGACAAATGACCAGTCACACACAGATGACCTTTGTGGAAACTTTGTCCACAGATTTTCTAACATAACACCAACAAGATAGAAACAACAAACCTTTGTATTAGTTAGTATGTTTATTTTATAAAACTAATGCTATTTATTGAGCCATAAGTCATATATTTTCTATAGGGTAGAATATGTTTCACAAAGAAAACTGTACAAAGAATGAATGGCTTCCTCTGCCTGACCAACATTAATTGTGCCAACAACTGAGAAACAGAAAACACTGACTGTTTTGAATTCCAAAAAAAAATCCATTTCCTCTTACAAAGGAAGTAGGGAGCCGGGAATTTGGCCTCAGGAAGTAGATGTGTCCCAGAGACTGGCAGGACCCTTACTTGCTGTGTAAACATGATAGCATTCCTTCAGCTCCAAGCAGAGCTGCAGCTCAAATCTATCATTTAAACACTATTATTCTCCACTGATTTCTTCAGTTATCTGCAGCAAAAACATTTACCATGGGGTTGCATTTCATGTGTCATTGTTCTTGGCTTCAGTGTGATGGAGGACGAAGATAATGAGCAACGTTTGAACGTTACTGTGGAGAGGAGTTTTGGTCAGACCGGTGGTGTGCTGTAGCGGATCTCTGCACCGAACTTTTCCATTGTCTTAGGCAACGGAGGCCTCTTCAGCATTTTGTGCTTCATAATGACCTCCTCGTTAGCATAGATGGGGGAGTCGGTGTCGTCAGAGTGGTACCCTGACTGGTACCCGCTGGTCTGATTGGATGATTCTGAGGCCAGGGATTCTTTGCTCTTGCAGCGCAGGAGCTGACTAAAGAAGAGATACAGGGAAACACATCTTGTTACATTAAATATGGACAAATGGACAAAACAATAGCTCACTGCAGTCAAGCTATACAGATATGCGACCCAGACACAGATGGTCCCCGGCAGGTTCCACTCCTCTCAGCTAATAACTGGAAACGTGCACATGTTTACTCACACTGGACAGCAGAAGATTGAAATACATTTTCTGGTCTGATAAGTGTTGAAACCCTAGATCTGTGGACGCATCAGGCACTGTGTGGTGGTGGTGAGCTGATGTAGGATATATTCACTGGAGAGAGTTGTTCACTGGAGTATTGTTACTAACTATAAAAGTCATTTACACCACAATACATCTGTTTTCTGAGGACTTCTGCCAAGGATTCTCGGAGGTTTCTTCCTGTAATCAGTGAACGTCACAGTCCAAACAGTAGTGTCACTTTGTTGATCTTGGCTCCACTGCACAATAAACTCTAGCTCTTACCTGAAGGTGGGTGTGGTCTGCAGCCGTTGATTTAACCCCTTCACTTCCTCTTGTGAGAAGCCCATCCCACTGTCTAGATGACCCTCCTGTGGATGAGTCAGAGTAGAAATTTAAATTAAGAAAATGCATCTAATTTAGTTTTCATTAACAATAACAATAAATATTATTATTATTTAAATTATAAATATGTTTTCATTACTGTATGTGGATGGTTTCCTTAAAAAGTCATAAGTGTGTTACTGCAATGATGACACGGTGAATTAGACTTACCATCACACTGCTGTGTGAAACTGGAATGTCATCAAAGGTCTTCAGGCTGAGAGGGCGACTGCATCTTTCACTTTGCTGGATCAGCCTGTGCAGACACGGCCAATACAGTTCAACCTCTGTGCATCAAGGCATTATAAGATAAATAGGAACAGCATGAAGTAGTAGGTACAATAATCTCGCTGACCCCAGTGATCGTGGATTATCATAGTGAAGCTGGGCCTCGTGGATTTCTCCACTCTGAGGACCGCTGTAAGGATCCCTGGAATCAGGAGTCACTGGAGATACCTCTGCTTCTCCTGCTGTCAGAGGGATGTAGTCCTTTCCATCCTGGAGGCAAACATCAATGTGATAAGATTATTATACCAGATGGTAGGCAGCTTTGGTTTGAAATAGCCCAAGGATTGAGGACGGCCTTTGTGTTGTACATTATAGTGGTCCTGCATTCACATACATGTAAAGGTGACGGTGGATCCTCACAATTATTATAATCACACACTGGTGACATTACAAAGATGATGGGATCAGAGCAGATTTTGTCAGATTGTTAGACATCTTCCTAATGGATGAAACTGGTATATTAGGGATAGACAGACGCTCCAAAGAAAAACAAAATGTACAACATGTCCCCGAGACAGTTGTCTAAAATGTAGCACAAACTTAAATGTCTAATATGATACTGCATTTAAACCGGTAGTTTTCAGAGAGTACATTATGAATGGCTAGAAGGAATATTTTTTTCCTGTAATGCTATATAAAAAACCTTCTGCTGCTCGACCACAGTTGCTCTTGTCAAAGGGGCAGATCAGGAAGACCAGTCACACGTATACTTTCTCTGTGTAAGAAATAATGT